GAGAAAAGGGAGATCTCTGAGAGGGGCTGAGTGCCATGGGCAGAGCTGTGGGGCTGCCATGGGGGGCTGAGTGCCAAGGGCAGAGCTGTGGGGCTGCCATGGGGGGGCTGAGTGCCATGGGCAGAGCTGTAGGGCTGCGATGGGGGGCTGAGTGCCATGGGCAGAGCTGTGGGGCTGCCATGGGGGGTTGAGTGCCATGGGCAGAGCTGTGGGGCTGCCATGGGGGGTTGAGTGCCATGGGCAGAGCTGTGGGGCTGCCATGGGGGGTTGAGTGCCATGGGCAGAGCTGTGGGGCTGCCATGGGGGGGCTGAGTGCCAAGGGCAGAGCTGTAGGGCTGCCATGGGGGGGCTGAGTGCCATGGGCAGAGCTGTGGGGCTGCCATGGGGGGTTGAGTGCCATGGGCAGAGCTGTGGGGCTGCCATGGGGGGGCTGAGTGCCAAGGGCAGAGCTGTAGGGCTGCCATGGGGGGCTGAGTGCCAAGGGCAGAGCTGTAGGGCTGCCATGGGGGGTTGAGTGCCATGGGCAGAGCTGTGGGGCTGCCATGGGGGGGTTGAGTGCCATGGGCAGAGCTGTGGGGCTGCCATGGGGGGTTGAGTGCCATGGGCAGAGCTGTAGGGCTGCCATGGGGGGGCTGAGTGCCATGGGCAGAGCTGTAGGGCTGCTATGGGGGGCTGAGTGCCATGGGCAGTGCTGTGGGGCTGCCATGGGGGTCTGAGTGCCATGGGCAGAGCTGTAGGGCTGCCATGGGGGGCTGAGTGCCATGGGCAGAGCTGAAGGGTTGCACTGGGGGGGGTGGGCTCTCCTCAGCTTCCTCTCCTCAGGTCTGCACAAACCAAGGGACCTCAGCTGCTCCTCACACTCTTTGCCCTCCAGACCCTTTCCCGTTTTCATATCCCTCTTCTGGATGCTCTCTAATAGTTCCATCCTTCCTTTATGACCTGTAAAACAGCTCAGCACTGATCAGAGCAGGGAGAGCACCGTGGCGCTGAGCTGCAGGATGCCTCACTTCCCGAGCAGAGCTGTGGGAGGATGTTAATCACCAACCAGAAGCAACGGCAGCCCCTGATAGACCGGGATGCTTGGGCGTGAGAAACGGCATCGGCTCCGTGCAACGGGAAGCTGGGAGCAAAGGGAATCTGACACACAGGTTTGCCGTTTGTTTAAGGAGAGAATGCCGCTGTGAGGTGGCAAACAGGATGATCTCCAAAGTAATTTGGGCTTTCGTAGCGCTGCACTGACAGCGCAATGATTCACGGCTCTGGTCCAGCTGCTGGTCTGCACTGCCTAAAACAGTGCCCCGATGGCGCCCCAGCCCCGTTACAGCACAGCAGAACAGAACCGGATTCCTCCCGAGCTCCCACAACGTGCTGAGCTCCCCAAACTCATCACTGTGCCGCTCCAGCCCCGCCTGCACCCGGACCTCCTCCTGCACCCAGCCTGGCAGCTGCTTTGTGGGTTTGTCTGAGACAGATGACAAAGAAAGTCACTTGTTGGAGCTGAAAAACAGGTTGGTTTCAGCCCAGCAGCATCACCAGCTCACAGGGAGACTGCAGCCCATATGACAGCGCTTCAGGTGGCAGCTTTTGTCCCTAGCAGAGCACAGCAACCCTGCGCCCACGGACACCCCAAAGCCTGCAGGGCGCAGAGATGATCCCCAGCACTGCGGCTGCCGGCTGAGAGCGAAGGCTTTGGTCCGCGCACGCTTCCATCCGCCTCCAAACGCTCTGCTGCTGCTCCGCAGAGCAAAACACGCGCGGCGGGTTCACGGCTCCCCAGCAGCACAGCGCAGGAAGCCTCCGTTCCTCCTCCTTTCGTGGCTGAGGACGGAGCGGATCCGGAGGAGCCACGCGGGACCTCCCAGCTCTGAAGTCAGAGGGAGGCGGTGCGGGAGCGGCGGTTCGCAGGAAGGATTTCGGCCCCGTCCGACTTCCCTTCTGACTCAGCGCAGCCCACAAACCGCTCTGCCCGGATTCGGTGGAAAAGCCCAATCCCAGCCGGGCCCCGGGCTGCTCTGCTCACGGAGCGGCAACGGGAGGAGCTGCTGCTCCGCATTGACAGCCAGCATCAGCCCGGCCCCGAGAATTCATTAACTCAGGGGAAAAAAGGGACGAAGTTCAGAACAGAGGCAGTCCTGCTACATGATTTTCTCCCCTGGGTCTCCTGCGGCAGCACAGGCTGTGGACGCAGCCACGCTCAGCCTGAGCTGCAGCTGTGGAGGTTCGGCTCAGCAGCTCTGAGGCATTCAAGGGCCACGCAATGAAGCAGAACACAGAAGCGGCTCAAAGGCATCAGAACAAACTCAGAGGAGCTCTGAAAGCTGCGGGCACTGCAGTGCCACAGGATTTCGTTTGCTTTTCATACCCATTTCAGGAACAAATGCATCTGCAGGCACAGCTGCCCTCCACGCAGCCCCCATCCTCCCCTATGGGTTCACCTCTGCATGGCAACGCTGTTGGAGCTCCCAGGTGGGGAATGCAGCAGTTTGCAGAGCTGTGAGAGCACAAAGCACTGCAGCAGCAGGGCAGGAACGCATCCAGAAATAAACCCACAAACTGCACCGTGTTCAGCATCGAGGTGCTGCAGCCCCAACCCATGCAGGTGCCGTCAGCAGCGCCTGCCTCTCCTGACCCTCAGCCTTGCAACTTCGACAGGCAGGAGAAGCAGAAAAATCGCTGTTTTCTTCTCCCCCGTTTCCATTCTTATCTCCAGGAGTGATTTCTCCAAGCTCACGTTTTCCAATGGAAACTCTGCCTTCAGTGCGATCTCAGTGCTGATAGCACGGCTGTTGTGCTGCACCACATCAGCGCGGGGCTGAGGAAACGCTGTGTGCCAAGGAATCCACAGCAGCAGCCATTGCCACCCCAGCAGCATCACCTGAACCTTCCAAGATCCCCGCTCACCCGTTCCCCTCAATCCAAATTCATTGCGCTCTTCGTCCGCGCCTTCATTTCCCAATCATTATTTCCACAGCACGAGCAGACAAGGAATCCTGGCTCTCACGGGGCAAGAATCCAGGAAGGACGGACAGACAGACAGACAGGAGCTGTTCCTGCACGCGGGGAATGCGGCAAAGGGCTCTTCCCCATTTCGAAAGGTATGCAAACAGGTTCTGGTGAAGAATGCAAATTTCTGTCCTGGTCCAGAGGGAGGAAAAAAGTCACACTGAGAATACGCCACCCCCCCCAGAGACACTGAAGGAAATTCTACAGGGGGAACACGTTTAACATGAAGCTCGTTGGGTATTTTTGCTGCTGTTGAGTCGTGGAGGAAAAGCGCCAGCAAACAAGTGGGCATAGAAATAAATAACATCTGCTGAAGGCATCGCCCGGATCTGTGAGATCAGAGGAGCACAAGTGGAGCCTTCACCTCTCGGCACAGAGCAAGGATGGGGAGATGCTGCTGTGCGAGGCTCAGGGCTGGGAGGTCTCCCATTTCGGAGCAGCAGCAGACCCAAGGAAAGCAGGTCAGCTGTTACAGCACAGCCCTATCTCCCAACTGCTGATAACAAACACACTGAGCTTGGGATCAAGGGCTGGAGGAGAGCAGCTCCTCTTTGCTGAGCGCCAACTCGGAGCTCTGCAGGAAGAGCGCAGAACTCAAAGGTCTCAGCAGTCACCAAATCAAAGACAGAACCCTTCAGAGGCTGCCGAGCCGCTCTGGTGGCCTTTGAAATAATAGACTCATTTATTAAGATGCCAGTAGATAGAGGCCAACATCTGATGCCGCTCCCAGAAGCTGAGAGCTTGCAGCTTCGGCCAACTGCTGCTGCAATGGCAGGAGCTCAGCGCAGGGTGCCTACAACACCCAGCCACGCTCACCTACCCTGTGGCAAGCAAAACCATTTGTGCAAGAAAAGCTCTCTGCAGCAATCTCAGCTTTGCTGCCATCACAGCCTTCCCATCCAGCTGCACTTTCAGCTGTTTTAAGACATTTATTTCAGGGAAGGAGCAACGCAGAGACAGCCAGCTTTGGAGAAGCTGAGTGACGGGCGCTGATCTGTGTTGGATTAATCACCTCAATCAGCTCCATGGAAACACAAGCCTTGACCAGCCCTCCTTACAAGGCACGGACAAACCCTCCAGGCTTCCCCTGTGGTGTAAAACAGGCCCAGAGTCACCACTGAGCACATTTCCCATGGATGGGACCTTGCAGCACACAGTCTTACTGCTGAAGGGAAGTTTTATCTTCCCAAATAATGAGGAACCCAAATCCTCACCGGTCGCAGCAGCCTTAGGGTAAGATGGGACATGGAGTCATGGCAGCCCTGGGCTGAAGATACACAGCTGGTGCATCTCGGTGGGATATTTCTGCTTATGAGAGCAGAAGACTGATGCACATCACCCCCAAGGCCAGCCAGCAGTCAGGACTATTTGCACAGGAAGGATAGAAGCTGCCAATGATCACCTCCAGGACAAAACTCTCCAGCCTTCCCCAGTCCTTCCAGGACAGATCTCTGCCACACACAGACTCCAAGAACCACAGAACCATCAGGGTTGGAAAAGACCACTAAAATCACCCACCCAACCACCAGCCCATCACCTGGGGCTCAGCCTGTTGCAGCACCTCGTCCACTTTGTACTCATGGGCTGACCTGAGGGCGATTGGGATCCATCCAAGCCGGATCCCAGCCTGCACACCCCCTCCTTCTCTCTATCCCAAAGCGCTCCCAACAAACCCCGCACACGGAGCAGCATTTTCTCAGCAGATCTCTATCAGCCACACCGAGGACAATCAGAAACCCAACAGCCACAGGTTGAAGACAGAAGGGAACGACAAAAATATATAACAGCAGAGCAAGAAGCAAAACTGAGTCAGCCAAAAGAAAGAGGACTTCTCAAAGAGAGAAGCCAAAGCAAAGCGACCGCCGAACAGCAGCGCGCATTGCTCCTCTCCACGGCACTTGCCCAAATTGCAACCTCCTGCTGCTGAACCCCGAGGAAGAGAAGCAGAACCACAGGCACGGAGCTCCCGCAGGTCCCTGGGCTGGGTGGCTCCTTACCTGCAGAAGGAACGTGGCTGCGAGGTGCTGCTCCTGAGGCTCTGCCTCTCCTGCCTGTCCGGGCGAACGCGGCGCTGAGCGCAGCACGTGACAGCCGTGCCCTGCCCTCCACTGCCAGCTCCTTCTCCAGCAATTTCACTGCTGCTCAAGGAAGTGAGTGGGTGAGCAGGGTGAAAAATTGTTCCCCTCTACTCAGAAACGGCAGAATTACCCACAGATTTCTCCTTCCCAGAGACGAGCTGCAATGATCCCATTACCCCACGGCGGCCAATTTCGGTTCGCCTCGCCCTCAAGCAGCACCAAACGGGGACGTGGGTTATCAGAGCTGGTAAACAGGGTGAGAGCAGGGAGTCCAGGAGACATCATTGCCACGCCGCCAGGTACGAGCAGGTTCACATCACCCATGGATGCGGGCACTGCCTCATCCTTTTGCCCCTGCAAAGGTCCTGCGGTGCAGATCACCGCGGTCAGGTTTTGTCACAGCGTGCGCCACTGGTTTGAAATTCATGTCAGCATAAAGGGCCTCTTGCAGCAGTTCTGGTGCAGACAGAGGGTCTCCTATCTTAAGATATAATTGCTATCATATATAATTTGAAGATATAATTTGAAGAGCAGGCAGCCCAACCACCCCACTTCTTGCATCCTCCCCCAGCAACGGGGGAGCATGGGGAGGCAGCAGGCTGAAGCCACCCATGGGAGCACGGAAACTATTTCCTCCCTCTGTCCAGCACTGAGCAAATCACAGCGGTACACAAAACATCTGAACACGATGCAGAGATGCTCAGCAAGCCATCGCCTCCCCTCTGAGCTCATCAGAGCACGAGGGCCTTACAGAGGAACGCTCTGCACTCAGACCCCGAGGCACAAGGCTGGAGGGAAGCCACAGCTGCTGCTCCGCTCCAGGTGGAAAAAGCTCCTAAGTGGGGACTGAAGCTCAGCATCCAGAACAGCTTAGAACCATAGAATCACAAGGTTGGAAACAACCTACAAGATCATTTAGTCCAACCGTCTCCTCATCACCACTGATGGAACCAGGGCTGCTCCACCGGGCTGCACGCACCTCCTCTGCCCGCTGCTGCCCCCAGATGCTTCTGCTGGGGATGTTACAAGGGAATGGCACCACCAAGGTCCTGCAGCATCAACATTCTCAAGTAAGATCTACAAGTGACAGGACTCTGTTGTTAGCTAGCTCTGGAGACAGCCTTAGCATGCAGATTAAAGAGATGCCCAGAAGCACGCTTTCAATAGCAGTAAAACCTCCACTATTTATTACCGCTCTGTTTCAAACAGTGAAATACATTTATTTTTTTTTTTAAATCAAACTGTCAAGATATTAATCTTCGTGCCCTTCCAAAAACAAAAAGGAAGCTGGAAAGTAAACAACATCCTTCAGTGTCAGGTGGAAACCAAAGTTTACCCTGTTCACACAAAAAAAAAAGAGCTCCATTTGAGGACATGTGGTAACTTTGCACCTTGACAAAGGCTGGTCCCTGCTTTTGGGGTGGGGGCTGAGCAAGTCACAGCTTTGGAGTCTTTAGTGTGGCTTAGCACCACCTTCCCATAGAGCATAACCCACAGCTATCAAATCATAGACCACAGCTATCAAATCATAGACCACAGCTATCAAATCATAGACCACGGGATGGCTTGGGTTGGAAGGGACCTCAAAGATGGCAGAGCCGCGGAACGTTTCCACGCAGCGCCCAGCATTCTGCCCACCCTCACTCCCACAGGTGAGCCAACACACGCGGCTCCAACCAAGGGCACAAGGCATTCTGCACAACTAAGCAAGTTTAAATATAGATCCCGCTTCTATCTTATCTACCTTCTGTTAAACGGGCGCATTCATCAGGTTATAAGAGCTTATCCATAAGAAACCTTCCAAGTCAGCACTATCCGCGTCCCCGCTGCAGGGCAAGGGAGAGGAGCCTCCGCCGACCTCGATGCGATGCCCCCAAAGCCCCATCCCGTGTGCAGCCCTGCAGCACAGCCACAGCACCCATCACCCATCCCTTCCTGCCCAGACAGGAGGAGGCGGGGTGGGAACTCTGATAAAGCAGGAGGTGCTGCTGTGTTGCAGCCACGGGTTGAGAAACCAAAAGGCACCAAGCAGGATGGGGCGCAGGGACGTCTCAGGAATAAGGAAGGGGAGCATCCAGAACAGCTCTTTCAACCCCATCTCACTCAACCAGAAGCCTCCATGAACGGAACCCATCAGGTTGGAAGTACTTGCAGTGTCTGAATGCTGGAGGACCGCAGACAGGTCGGGTCAGCAGCTCCCAGCTGCTTCCTGGCAGCAAAGGAACCCGCCTTGAGATACACAGATAGAAGTTCTGGGTATTGTTTTTGTCTTTTTAATCACTCCCACACCCCATTTCCAATTATTAGCAGACAAAGGTCACTTCCACGCGTGAGGTGGTTTAACAGCAGGTGAGAAAGCTGTGTTTTACAGCGGCTGATTCAGCTCAAGGGGAAGGCAGACACACGCAGGAGCTGCGCTGGTGCTCAGCCCACTGCCTCGATCCTTTGGGTGAAGCCACGCTGAGCTCTCCTGGCCATACAAAACCCACTCCTCAGCCACAGCATCAGGTCACTGAAGCCCTGCTTTAAGCCCTATGCAGTCACTGCCTTCCCTTATCTCCCAGACCTTTGCTCCCCTTGTCATTTACACCCCTCTTGCCCTGCACCAATGCTCCTTCCCCCTCCCAGCCCCACACCAGATGCTCTCCCAGCCCCACAGCCCTCAGCACAGCAGGAGGGGAAGCACTGCTGGCAGACAGGGCCTGCCCAGGGCTCTCACATCTGCATCACACAGCCCGTGATGCCCACACTCATCAACCTCCTTCAACCATCATTCTATTTGCTCAGATAAAAGAGACCCACAGCTTAAATTAATAATAATAATAGCAGTATTTTTCCTTGCTGTGTGGTGCTTTGGTGTCCCCCTCTGCAACGGGGCGCACAACCTCATACAGAGCCCAATTGAAGAGGCTGCACAGCTGCAGCGTAACACAGCTCTGAGCTGCAGCTCTCCCTCCAATGGCTCAGGGTCTATTTTCAGAAGCTCTCCTTGCCTTTCTCTTATTGGGGTGTTATATTTTAACCTTGCAAATTCGCTCTAAATTCATGCCACCGCCTCCCCTCCGACCACAGGGTGCTGGAGAGCAAACTGTGCTGCCACATCACAGCAGCCACAGGGCTGTGGGAACACTCACAGAGGAGCTGCCACATGTGAGACCACTCCAGTCCCCCATAGCATTCTTTTGGGTCAGAAAACAGCAAAAATCATCATCCTCATCATCATCATCCAGGTCCTGCCTGCCAAGGGATGCAAGACAAGGAGCAATGGCTCCTTGTGATGACTTCCACCTGCTGTCCAAAGAGCTCTGCTTCCAGCAGCACAGCGCTGTTACACTGAGATGCTGCTTCCCCTCATCCTTGCAGCCTCCTCCGATAGGGAAAATAGGGAAAGGCAGCACAGACCCACAGAGAAACTGAGATTCACCCCTCCGATGCAAAGTCCTTCAGGAGAGCCCCTCTGGGCAGAGCCCACCCGACCCACGGAGGGGCAGCACCCAGTGACAGCCCCCAGCCCTCCCCCCCCCCCAACTCTGACAGTGCACACAGAGCTGTTTATTTTACCACCACTTCTATTCCTCTCCCAGTGACATCTCAGCGTTTCCCCCTTTGAAAGCCACAGGAAGTCTGGGCCGGATGGACTCCCTTCAGCTCCGTGGGTTAAACATTATTCTGTGGGGCTGGAGGTGCGCTCAAAGAGGGAGGCAATTCTCAGAGTTACACATTAAGAGGTCAGATCGTCCACTTGTTTTGCTTTGAGGACAGCAGGATTTGGGAGGAGAACACCAAGGGAGAAGCCAGCAAGTTCTCAACTAATAATAAACCCATTCCTGTGCTTTGTGCCTTTGAGGCTGGGGGAGGTCTTACACCCGATCTGCCACGAGATGTCAGACAGATGAGCAGCAGAACCCCGATGGGATCCACCGAACCTCACGCGGTTCTCCCCCTACCCTTGGACTCGGGGCACCTTCACAGGACCCATCGGAAAGCAGCAAGGAAGCCAAGGACAGATGGCTTAAACGCAGAGGAGGCAGTGGTGGGCTCCTGCCCCGACCACACGGCCAACCCCATCCCCACAGCACCGAGCTGTGGAGGAAGCTGAGTCAGTGCCCGGCGTGGGAGGCGGCGCAGCGCGGGGCGGCTGCTGGCACACAGCAGCTTCTGGGGAAATTCTGCTCAGTGCCCCAAGCAGCTTTGGGATCAAAGAGGGGTGAAGAAGGGGAAGGAGAAGCTCAGCTCCTCTGTAACCCCCCCCCAACAACTCCCCAGGCTCCCTTTGAATGCCCTACAGAGACCAGCTCTCCCTTTAGGTCCCTTCAGATACCCTACAGCAGCCCCTGTCCCCTGCCCCTCTTCCAGGTGCCCTATAGCAGCTGCTCTTTCCCCTCCTGCCCCCCTCCCACCCCCCCCGGCTCTTTCAGGTGCCCTGGCCCTGCTTGCTGTAGGGAAAATCCCCCTCGACCTCACGTAAATCCCCAGTGCTTTCCTTTTCCTCGCACTGGGATCTTGAAGGGTCACAGCTGTCACATCCAACGTGGACACAGGCAGCCAAAAAGTCACCAGGGAATTTACAACCCACTGCAGTTACTGTGCTTATGATCCCACCTGGCAGAGGTGTCTCCCCGTATCCCCACCCCGAAAAATAACCCAAAACAACAAAAAGCGCCCAATTAGGGCAATTAAACTGCAGGCGCTCTTTAAGGCTGGTCATTAATCGGGCTCTGAGCTGAGTCAGAGAGCAGGACGTTGATGTGAAAAGAAGCTGAAAGCTCTAAAACACAAAGCAGGTACCCAGAGAGAAGGGGACTTGGGGACAGGACACAGGAACTGGAGTGACAGCACGCAACAGGGACGCTCAGAACAGAGAGATGCGAAGCTGGGGAAGGGGCTTTATGTCAGCATGGGATACAGGAGTGGCTCCAGTTTCTCCCTATCCTCAACACATGGAAGGGGAAAGCAGTCCAGAGCAGTGAAAAATCAGACAAACTTGGAGGGGGAAAACAAAGCCTTGCAATACAACCTTGCCTACCCCCCTCTGTTCAGACACCCACAGCTCCAGCTGAGCCCAACAGTGAGGGGGACTCTGACCCACACTTCTAGTTAAAAGCAACGCCCAGAGGGATGGCTAGAAGGGACAGGGTCCCCCCCAGCCTAATTAACCCCATTAGGGAAGAGGGGAACCCTTAGAAAGAAGTGTGGTACAGCTCACAAAGAGGAGGCAACACAAAGAGGAGGTAAAGGGGATTCACGTGGGACCCCAAACTAGGCAGGGGCACACAGTGCTTCATGGGGACAGATCTGGGAGGACGGAGCACCTGCAAAGCAACAGCAGAGAAGCTGGGAGGCCACACAAGGCCAGCACAGAACCCCCAACCTCCGGGAGTGCATGGGGCGACCCTGGGCTCCTGTAACCATAGGAGGCACGAGGGGAACCCCCTCTATAACGAAGAAGCCCCCATAGAAGCCCCCCAGCAACCACCAGAACTACGACTTCCTCCTCCTCCCCCACGACTCCGACACCGATACGAAGCTGCTCCCCTCCCCACACCGCACTCGGAGCCCCCCGTCCCCGCAGCCCATTACCTGCACTCCCAGCGCTGCCACCCCCTCCCTCCCCCTCCGCCCCGGAGCCGCCTTTTGACGGGAACCGCCGGCTCCGCGTCCCGCCCCCTCCCTCGGCCACGCCCCCTCCGCTGCCACGCCCCCGCTCACCCCACCAATGGCAACGCGGCACCTTTGAGACCACGCCCCCTAGGGGGTGGACCCGCCCTAACACCGCCTACCGTTGCCACATAAGGCGAGGGTTGAGCTAAGCCCCGCCCACTATGGGCGTGGTGTGGGCTGGCGGGAAATTGCACGTGGCTGCCCGGCCCCGGGACCCCAGAAAGCGGCAGCGCGGCACCCCGCGTTTCGGCCCAGCTTCTGCCCGTGCTGCTCCGCACCTGAGCCCTGAGGGGAGCCCCACACACTGCCAACGGCTTCTGGGCAGCTGCTGCTGGTTCTGCTTTGAGCTTTGGGGGTTCTGCTGCCTGGCGTTTTTGGGGACACAGACACTCTAGAAGGCGCAGTGGGGCGTGCAGTTTTGCTTCCTCCTGACCTTCCGTCCTAGCTGCTCACCGGGCAGAGCAAACTCCACCAGTCCAACAGTGCCCTCCAGAAGTCCTGGGCAAATCATCTCGCTGTTATAACAGCTCTTGAGGACATCCAGGTATCCTTGCAGAGTTTCACCTTTGCTCTGGTGCCTTCTGGAAGCTCAGGTGTCACGTGGCTCTGTCCACAGAGCTGGCAGTGCCTCAGAGGCTGCTTCCCTTCTGGAGTGCTAAGTAACAATCCACCGTGTACTGGGAGCATTCATCACCTGGCAAATGAAATTCATTTCATTTATGCGCCTGCAGCATCTGCAGAGCCGGTCTCCTACCTCTCCCATTTTTAGGATTACAACCAGGAGAGCTGCCACTGCAGACTGCAGTTCCTCACCCTGATTGCATCTCTTGGAGAGTTCATGGATTTTTCTGATGCCTAGATCAGATTAAGGGCAGAAGGAGAGCTGATTCATCCCCTTCCTCCAGACCAGAGACAGAAGCAAGTGCCCAAGCACAACTGCAAGCACAAGGATCAGCGTGGGCTCCCGGCAGTCAGGGCTGTTTGCAGCCCCCAGTCTGTTTGCACTCTCCGCTCAGCCCCATCGTAGCTGGGGCTCCACATCCTGCACACGAGCTGAGCCCTTGCAAAGCCCTCACATGGGGGTCAGGGACCTGCAGGTGGGGTGTAGCTGCCCTGCAGGTCCTGGAGGTATCTGGGGCTGTGCGAGCAGCCGTGAGTATTGATCATCATAAGTACTGATCTCAGCCACCCCAAACCTCCTTTCGGATGATGTAAATCAAATGTGGAGCACAAGGATTCGAGCTGAGCCATTTCAGCTCACACTGCAGCCCCAACCCAAACCTCTCAATGTTCTGGGCGCCTTACAGCCCTGCTCTGAAAACCTCCGGATATTTGTCAGCTTCTCCCTTTCCATCCTCCAAAACCTGTCTGGCAACATTTTATAAAGGGACAAGAAAGGCATCAAGAAAGTCCCTTCGTGATGCTCCAGGGTTTACCAAATGTCCCCTAAACCCAAACTCCCCAGAGAAAATGAACCCAAGCGCGGGCGGCACAGCAGACAGCAGCAATCACCGCCCTGCAGCTGCGCTCGTCGAGTTCAGCAGCTTTAATTTGTGTGGGGAAAGCGTTTCGCTGAATGTTTTCAAATTGATTTAATGAGAGCAATCTGTGGGGGAAAAAGAGGAAAGAAAAAAGGTCTGGGAAGAAATGAGAGTTCATTAGAGACAATTGGGTCGTATGGAACTTTTTTGGGGAATGAGGAGAGTGTTGTGGGAGAGGAGACAGACGGGGATGGTGATAGGGATGGGGGAAGGAAAATGGATGGGGATGGAGATAGGGATAGGGATAGAGATAAGGATGGAGATGGGGATGGGGATAGGGATAGGGATAAGGATAGGGATAGAGATAAGGATAGAGATGGGGATGGGATGGAGATAGGGATAAGGATGGGGTAGAGATAAGGATGGAGATGGGGATGGGGATGGGGATGGGATGGAGATAGGGATAGGCATAGGGATAGGGATAGGGATAGGGATAGGGATAGGGATAAGGATAGGGATAGAGATAAGGATAGAGATGGGGATGGGATGGAGATAGGGATAAGGATGGGGTAGAGATAAGGATGGAGATGGGGATGGGGATGGGGATGGGATGGAGATAGGGATAGGGATAGAGATAAGGATAGAGATGGGGATGGGATGGAGATAGGGATAGGGATAGAGATAAGGATAGGGATAGAGATAAGGATAGAGATGGGGATGGGATGGAGATAGGGATAGGGATAAGGATAGGGATAGAGATAAGGATAGAGATGGGGATGGGGATGGGAAAGAGTTAGGGATGGTGATAGGGATGGGGGAAGGAAAATGGATAGGGATAGGGATAGGGATAAGGATAAGGATAGAGATAGGGATAGGGATAAGGATAGAGATAGGGATGGGGAGGGGATGGAGATAGGGATAGGGATAGAGATAAGGACAGAGATGGGGATGGTGATGGGAAAGAGTTAGGGATGGTGATAGGGATGGGGACGGGGATTCAGATAGAGGTAGGGACAAGGACAGGGATGGCTCTCATGCTATTGCCATAGACTTGTCCCCTACACCCAGACTGGCTTTGAAGGGAAAATGCCTTTAAAACTACAGGGATTATAACTATAGGAACAAAAGGGATTTAAACCAGGACACCCCTAACACGACTTCACAGTGTTTGGCACCCGCCAGGACCTCGCCTTGAGGTTCCTCACCCACAGCTTTGAGTGCGGCTTCTTTCTTCCTGTGGGGATTCTCCGCTGTCTGCTACAGGGCTAAGCTCACCCTTCAGTCCACCCTTAGTGGCTCAGTGAAGGCTTCCCTCTCCCCATCCCTTCCCCAAAATGCCTTGTGCAGAGCCCCTGTTCACTTGAGGGTGATGGGATATGAGCAACTCACCCAATTAGGGGGGCAATTAGTGCGGACCGCAAGGCAGGGAGCCTCCCTCACGCCCTTCGCTCTCAGGAGGAAGAGAACCAATGATCCGTTAAAGCAACGCAGAGTTGTTACAAACATTTTCTTGATTTTTATGGTTTGAGTGATTATGAAGGGAAGGAATTTGGTTTTCCATTGAGCCTCACATTCGTTGGGGCAGGAAAAAACCTGGGAGGTCACAGTGGAGGCTCTGCGGGGTTATGTGAGCATCAGCTGACCCCAAAGATCCATTTCTTTTTCTGCTTCTGTCCCAGAGATGCAGCGCTTGGGGTGAGGGGGGTGAATGATCTGGTTTGGTTCTGTTCCCCCCCCCCCCCAAACCCACTGTATGCTCCTCTGCACCCAATTGTAACTGGGGAACGGGGGAATGGGGAGGGTGGATTTTCCCCCTATTATCTGTGCATCCAGAGTGCAAAGCCCCTAAAATGCCAATAAATCGATGCAGATGGATCAGCACCCCAACAGTGCGGCAATAAACCCGAAAGGACAAAGCAGGAGAAGGAAGGGACAGCTGGGAAATGTGAATTTCTGCAGCGGCAAGAGAAACCCTGTGAACCTCAGAACTGCCAGCGAGAGGCAATTTTCCCCTTAAACGCTGCGTTTTGGGGTAATTTGTCTGCAGCGGTGCTTTTCCCCTCCCAACCCTCCACAGCAAATCCCCGTGTTGGGAGCTGCAGCTCTGAGCTCCGGCGGAGGGGGAAGCCTGGAGCTGAGCTTTTAGCAGAGGGAGCGCTGTGCACAGAGCGGTGTAGGAGCCGCTGTGTGCTGGGTGAGGCGACATCTAGCGAGCCTGCAGCGCAGGACAGAGCGTGCAGGGCCCTACAGCACGTCCAGAGCATTGCATGGACACGCACAGCCCTGCACAAGCACGCACGACCTTGCACTAGGATGCACGGTATTGCATGAGCGTGCACAGCCTTGCACGAGGGCACGCAGCCTTGAGTATTTTGCACAAGCGTTCGTGGTTTTGCATTGCCCCACGGTGGGACTGGTGAACATACAGCAGTCTGGGGGCTCATACTGGGATGGTGCCCCCATACTGGTGCAGGAAGGGTCCATACTGGGATGGGTGCCCCCATAATGGTGCAGGAAGGGTCCATACTGGGATGGATGTCCCCATAATGGTGCAGGAAGGGTCCATACTGGGATGGGTGCCCCCATAATGGTGCAGGAAGGGTCCATACTGGGATGGTGCCCCCATACTGGTGCAGGAAGGGTCCATACTGGGATGGGTGCCCCCATAATGGTGCAGGAAGGGTCCATACTGGGATGGATGTCCCCATAATGGTGCAGGAAGGGTCCATACTGAGATTGGTGCCCCCATAATGGTGCAGGAAGGGTCCATACTGGGATGGGTGCCCCCATACTGGTGCAGGAAGGGTCCATACTGGGATGGATGTCCCCATAATGGTGCAGGAAGGGTCCATACTGGGATGGGTGCCCCTGTAATGGTGCAGGAAGGGTCCATACTGGGATGGGTGCCCCTGTAATGGTGCAGGAAGGGTCCATACTGGGATGGTGCCCCCATAATGGTGCAGGAAGGGTCCATACTGGGATGGGTGCCCTCATACTGGTACAGGAAGGGTCCATACTGGGATGGGTGCCCCTATACTGGTGATGGTTCCATATTGGGAAGCGGTCCCACTACCGGCTGAGGGTCCACACCGCTGCTGTGCGCATACCGGCGCCCAGAAGCCCGCTCCCCCCAGCGCATGCGCATTCCACCTCCAGAGCTCTGCGCAGCCCGTACGCATGCGCGAGGAGGGCCGCGGCTTTTGCGCAAAGCGCATGCGCGCACAGACACGTGTCCTCAGAACACGCCCCGCCCCTTCTTGCGTGCGGAACCCCCCGCGTGGTTGCGGCGCATGCGCAGTGCGGGACACGCCCCTCATCCCCACCCAAAAGGTAGGGCCGTGCGCACCGCCCTAACGCTGTGCGGCGCATGCGCACTGAGGAAGCGGCACACCCGGGCGGGGCGCCTCGTTGCGTCACCGCGGGAGCGGCGCCCTTCTCAGGCCCCGCCCATTACTCCGTGGGTGGGGCGGTGACGCAGCGCCCGCTCCCTACGCGCATTGGGCGGGGCGTCAGCGCGGGGGGCGGGGCATGAGGGCACCGCCTTTTCCTTCCGCCCTGCGCCGGAAGTGGAGGGGCGGGGCGAGGGTGAGGCGTCGTAGTCATAGCAACGGCGGCTGCGCGGCCCTGAGGCCATTCTGCTGCGGTGGGCGTGAGGGGCAGCGCTGGGTCGGGGGGGCTGCGGGGGCCGCGGTCCTTGAGGGGTCTTTGTGTGGGGATCCTTTGGGCTCGTTTGAGGGGAATAGTGCTTTTCGTGGGTGTTGGTGAAGGGGGTTTGTCTCTAAGGGGGCTGTCCGTGGGTGGGCCTGTGTGGGAGGGCTTTGGTTTTGGTTTTGGTTTTAGTTTTGAGGGGGGCGCGTTTAGGAACGTTTGGCTCCTCGGGAAACGTTTGGGGGAGCGCTGGGTGCCTCTGTGGGGTTTCTGAGGGGGTCTGAGGCCCTCTGTGTGGGGGTGTCCCTGCTTTAGGGGGGCTCTGTGGGGCTGTTCCTGGGGGGGGCGTTCCCACTGTGCTGGGTGGGACCTGCGGGGTACGGGGGGGGGGGGGCACCTGAGGGTGGGTGGTTTTCTGATAGGAGAAGGCTGTGAAAGTGGGGGGCTGTGTGTGAGGGTCTGTAATGGGTTCTGCGGAGGGAAGGGGAACGTTTCCCCTCCTGCCTGTGGTTCAAGGTGGAGTTTCTCTGTCTGTCACCAAACGCACTGAGTTCTCTGCTGCTGTCTGTGCAGCTCTTCCTCCACGGCTGCAATGGGTTCTGCGCTTTCTCTGTCTGCTGACAGCGCTGCCTCCAGGCGGAGGAGGAAGGCTGACGAGGATGATGATGGTGATGATGATTTACTCGACAGCCGAGACCGCAATGAGGACATTGCCAAATTTCCATACGTTGAATTCACGGGTCAGGACAGCATCACCTGCCCCACTTGCCAAGGCACTGGTTGCATTCCCACAGGTGAGTGCTGTGCTCCTTTTATCCTTAGCACAAAAAAAAGCGAGGTGCTGCAACGCTCCTTCCTTACTTAAAAGGTTTTGCAATCGCGTGGAGCTGCTCACTGTGTTCCTTCTGCTTTGCAGAGCAGGTAAACGAGTTGGTGGCTTTGATACCCTACAGCGACCAGAGGCTCCGTCCACAGAGGACGTAAGTGCATAATTAAGCATAATTAAAGCTCTGCAAAGAGCAGACAGTGCTCTTCTGTCCCTGACTGCCGCAGCTCAGGGCTTTATCCAGTCTGCAGCTTTTCCTTCGTCTCATGCCTTGTTTTCACTGAAGTGTGCCAACAAATACAGCTTAAACTTTCACTTCAAATATTTTCTGTTAAGTCCCATCGTGGGAGTGAATGTGGAAACAGTCGTCCCACTCACACGCTTTGTTTTTGCGCTCTCTACAGAAGCTTTTGGAAAGAAACTGCGTTCCCAACAGCACCGTTTGTAGATTCTGAGAATGCTTTGGGGCAAAGAAAGATTGTTTGGTTACTCATTACTGAAAAGTGAACTGTGTAAAGGGTGGCTGTTTTGAGCAATTTCAGATATGAAAAATGTTAGAGCAGCACTTCTGTGTCTCTTTTAGGGAAGAGCAGATATGCTTGGTTTTGCTGACAAGTTTGGGTTTCGGATACAAGATGTCTTGCAGTTGCAGATGCTGTGTTAGGGCAAAGGCTGTGACCCATTTCCTGCCTCTTCCAGGAAGCTCTATGTCCTCCTGTCGGTGCTGCTCTGCCTTCTGATCTCAGGGCTGGTCGTTTTCTTCCTCTTTCCACACTCTGTCCTGGTGGATGATGGCGGCATTAAGGTGGTTCAGGTCTGGTTCGACAGGAAGAACTCCGTTGTCCTTCTTGCCATCACGGTAAAGTTTTTGTGCATCCCTGTTTGTGAGGGGAAAAATCCTGTGCTGAGCTGCCAGGAATGTTCTTGCTACCCGTGCCTCCCTGCTGTCCTTCCAGGCCACTTTGCAGATCAGGAACTCCAACTTCTACTCAGTGACAGTGGACAGTCTGACCAGTCAGGTGCAGTACATGAACACCGTGGTGGGCAGCCAGCAGATCACCAACATCTCCAGCATCCAGCCACTAAGTGACAAGCTGGTATTTGTCTTTATTTGCCTCTGCAGCGTGCATTGCAAGCGCCCCTAAATCACATATGGAACTGGTGTGGTATCTCAAGCTCACTTGAGGGCACTGCATCTGTGCCTTGGAGCTTTGCTTGGCAGATAGTCTGGCTGTGCTCTCTGCACAGCAGCTGCAATGCAATGTAGTGCAGGAAATACTCAGACAGGGGGGTTTGGAAGGGAGTGATCAAACTGCAAGCGAATGGGTTTTTGTCTTACAGGTGAATTTCACGGTGAAGGCGGAGATGGGAGGACCTTTCTCCTATGTGTAGTAAGGATTTCCTGTTCTTGGTGTACAGTAGGTTTGAGCTGCTTTAGTTATTGCTGGCTTTGGAAATGAGTTGCTCTGTGCTCACTTTCTGGAAAACAACCATTTGCTAGAAATGACTTGAAAGGCCACTTTGTCAGGATGTTGTGTTGGGGTTTTGGATGCTGAGTTAACACCAGAGGTAAAACTACATCAGAAGATTCCAAGAAGCGCAGTCATTTCTGCTAGGCTGCTCAGCCCCTGCTGACCACTTTCTCTCTTTTCATCTCTTCCAGTTTCTTCTGCACGTTTCCCAAGGTGAAGGTGCATAATATAGTCATCTTCATGAGGTAGGTTTAGCTCTGCTCCTGACTCAGAATGGAACTGGTGCTGCAGCAAGGCTGGGGCAATCAGAGAAAACTGTGCTCGGCGAACAGCCCAGCCTGGTTCACTGTCAGCTTTAATCCAGGCCTGGTGGCACGGGTAAAATGTAAGATAGGGAGGAAGAGAAGACGCCAGCTGGCTCTGAATGGAGCTTCTGCACGGTGGGTGCTGCGCTTTGGGGCTGGGCTCAGCAGCTCTGCTCACCTCTTTGCAGCGAGCACCCTTGGGTGGGTCTGCTCAAAACCTGAGCACTTCTGAGATGAACATGAAGCCCCACTGATTGCATTGAGCAGAGGGATTTACCCCTGGCCCTCTCCTTTCCCTCAGGACATCGGTGAAGCTCTCCTACATGGGCCGCAGGACGCAGAGCTCGGTGGAAACGTATCACTACATCGACTGCAGCACCAACTCCACGGCTGACCCGGCCCCCTCTGGGCACAGCCTGGCTCTGAGCAAAGCCTGAGCAAAGCCTGAGGTCGCTGCTGGGGGTGGTGATGGTGCAGATGGATTTCCCTGGTGAAATATGAAACGTGTAGCTTAGAAAAGGAACTTTGCAATGGAAGCAGAAGGACCGCGAGTGGCTTTAGGAGAGACTTGAAGGCTCTGGGTCCCTTTTGCGCTTTGCTGCCTGCAGCTGGGCTGCGTTGCTGGCCTGTCCCTGATCTTGATGTTCACTTTCAAGCCTCCATGTCCCTTCCAAAGTGAGAGGCCTGACTTTTTCTTGAGCTCTTTAACTGTTTTTTTGTGTAGAAGAACTGAGGACTCGAGCTCTGTGCTTTGGGGTCCGAGGATCTCAAGGACTTAGATTTGAGTTTTGAAGTTTAGCACTGTCTGCTCCTTTCAGGGCAGGTTAACTGGTTCTGTGTGATGTATCCCAATCTGGCTTGGTGGCAGCCTGTCGCTGGCATCTTTCAGAGCAGAACTTGATAAAAAGGGATAATTCTCTGCCGGGGACGCACAGATGAGGTGTTCAGGCTTTCACCTTTGTAACTTGCACTAGTAGGAGGAAAGGGAATTGAAACCACCACAATGTTTTCTCCTTTGCTGGCAGCTGAGGCTGCCTCCAGCGACCCGATACCAAAACACCGGTCTTAATGAGGGCAGCCTCATTAAGCAGGGTGCTGTTGGCGTGGGGAAGGGTCCCTGTGGCTTTGACCCCCTGATCTACGCTGAAGCTGCTTCTTGGGCATTCAGCAGCTGTGAGTTCCCTGGTGTTGAACCCGGGGAAGGTGCAGCTCAGTGCTGCTTTGTGTTTGCCGACCTGAACTGATTGTGTTGAAGATGGGGCAGTTTTGTGTTTCAAAGGCTCACCTCTCCGGAGCCGATCGTTCCCAAAGGATGGCAAAGCAAACAAACCTGCAGTCCAGCCTGCTGCAGTCCAGCCTGCTGCAGTCCAGCCTGCTGCAGTCCAGCCTGCTGCAGTCCAGCCTGCTGCAGTCCAGCCTGCTGCAGTCCAGCCTGCTGCAGTCCAGCCTGCTGCAGTCCAGCCTGCTGCAGTCCAGCCTGCTGCAGTCCAGCCTGCTGCAGTCCAGCCTGCTGCAGTCCAGCCTGCTGTGTTTGCAGCTTGGAGAACTTTGTTCTGCTTTTGCCCTTTTTGGTTTTTGTGGAACCAGGTCACTGCTGCCTCCCGTGTTTCCTCTGCGTGCGCCCTGTGCTGTTCTCCATCCACCTCTATGTGGAAACAAAGCGGCCAAAGCCTGCAGGGGAAATGGCTCCGGTGCTTTGTCAATGAAGGAGGCTTTCTTTTGTGCAAGCGTGAAATAAAAATGCCCTTTGTTTTTTAAGAGGTGGGGTGTCTTCCCAGCAGAGCTGCTAGAGCTGAAGCCTGCTTGTTAAAGCGGGGCTGTGCGATGAGCGGTGCCTTTACATGGAAACCGAGGAAACGCTGTGTCTGCGTCCTGTGGAAAGCAACCTTTTGTCCCAGTTCGGTGACTGGCATCGTGTCACCTTTTCACAGAATCACAGAATCACCCGGGTTGGAAGGGACCCCAAGGATCACGCAGTTCCAACCCCCCTGACAGGGCCACCAAACATCCACATTGAGATCAGGTTGCCCAGGACCCCGTCCAACCTTGAACACGGCCAAGGACGGGGCATCCACAGCCTCCTGGGCAGCCCGTTCCAGGGCCTGACTGCTCTCCTGTTCAAGAACTTCCCCCTAACATCCAACCGAAATCTTCCCTCCTTCAACTTGGATCCATTTCCCCTCGTCCTGCTGTTCTCAGCCCTTTGGAAGAGTTGACTCCCCTCCTGGCTGTGGGTTCCCTTCAGGTATTGATAGGCTGCACTGAGGTCACCCCGCAGCTTCTCTTCTCCAGGCTGAACAAAGCCCAGCTCCCTCAGCCTGTCCTCATAGGGGAGGTGCTGCAGCCCCCTGCTCATCTCAGTCGCCCTCCTCTGGACCCTTTCCAACATCTCAATGTCTTTCTTGTCCTGAGGGCTCCACACCTGGACACAGGACTCCAGATGGGGCCTCACAAGAGCCGAGCAGAGAGGGACGATCACCTCCCTGTCCCTGCTGACCACCCCTCTCCTGATGGAGCCCAGGATCCCATTTGCCTTTCGAGCTGCCAGAGCAGCACTGCTGCCTCGTGTTCAGCCTCTCGTCCATCAGGACCCCCAGGTCCTTCTCTGCCGAGCTGCTCTCATGTCCACTCCTCCCAGCCTCTACGGGTGCCTGGGGTTCTTCCGGCCCAAATGCAAAACCTTGCACTGTGCCGTGTTGAACCTCATCAGGTTCACCCGAGCCCAGCCCTCCAGCCTGTCGAGCTTGCCTGAGCGCCCCTTGTCTCCTGCTGCTGATTCGGGGGAGCGAGGGCTGAAATCCTCGCCTCACCTCCGTTGCCACACAGGCTGCAGGGTTTGGGTTCGCGGACCTCGGCTCTGCTGTCCCTGCACCGTCCCCATCACGAGCTCCTCACGCCGTGCTGATAAAGCTGATAAACCCCCAGCAGCTTCTAACTCTGCTGAGTTGAGTTTTCTGTAGGAGAGCTGCAGGGCTCCCACGCTCTGCCCTTTCTCATCCTGCTGGCTGAGCCTCCTGCAGCCCTCATGGCGTGGGGGGCTCTGTGTCCCCTCATGGGTGGCAGCAGGAGGTGGCAGAGCTTCCTGCCGACCCCCAGCCCTTTGCTGCGGTGCTTTGGCTGCAGGTAACAGATGCTCTTCTGTATCTGTTGTCCATCTGCATGGACATCATCTGCACGTCCAGGTCCCAAAAGCAGAGCAGCTTTTACCCGGTGAGGGCGAGCTCAGAGGGCTGCCTGCGGGATCCCCCATCCTGCTGCTTATCCGAGCAGGGAAACAGCTTGTGGGACACGGAGAGCCCTGGTAATTGGGGGTGCCCTCTGGGTCATGTGGCACTCGGCCTTATAAAGGGCGTTTATTTTGGAAAATCCTCCTTAATCCTCCAATCCTTTCTAATGAATTTCTTCTGCCAACGTTTCTTGCAGCTCCCAGCCCTGGAAAGCTGCCTCAGGTGCTTGGGCTGCAGCATTGCCAGCTGCCAGCACTTAAAACTGAGACCAGGGCCCCAAAGTAACGTTTCTTTAAAGGGGTTTTTAATCCTTTCAAGTCATAATTTCTCTTAATGAAGGACTGCTGTCAGCTGGTGCAAAAAGGAACAGCAGTGCTGTGGTGAAACCTGCGGGCCAGCAGCTCTCATGGGGTCGCTGGGCTAATTTTCTTGAAGATAGTTAAAAACAATTAAACTTCTGGGGCTTTCCCTCTAATTAGCAAGCTGCTAAAGAGCAGCATTTACATATGTCGTGTTTTAATAAAGCTTAAAGGCAGGGCTGCTTTACCACAAGTCTCCACGTTGCGCCCTGTGGCCGTGAGCTCTTCCGCTTTCAGTTGTGCAGAATCCATCCCTAAATTACGTGTGCACAAAATGGGACTGGAGCAAGGAGGTGGACGGGTTTGCTTTTCTTTGAGGGATTTGTTTAGTTGTGGTTTCACCCCCTGTCCGTGTCTCTAATAGTTGCTCTCTATAACTTCCTGAAGGGAGGCTGCAGGGAGCTGGGGGCAGCCTCTGCTCTCATGTCATCAGCGATGGGAGCAGAGGGAACGGCTTCAAGCTGCAGCAGGGGAGATTGGATGGACATGAGGAAGAATTGCTGTGCAGAAAGGGTGGGCAGCACTGCAATGGATGCCAGGGAGGTGGGGGAGTCTGTGGGTCCCAACGTGTCTCTATGGGTCCCAACGTGTCTCTATGGGTCCCAACGTGTGTCTCTATGGGTCCCAACGTGTCTCTATGGGTCCCAACGTGTCTCTGTGGGCCCCAACGTGTCTCTATGGGTCCCAACGTGTCTCTATGGGCCCCATTGTGTCTCTGTGGGTCCCAACGTGTCTCTATGGGCCCCAACGTGTCTCTATGGGCCCCAATGTGTCTCTATGGGCCCCAATGTGTCTCTTGAGACCTCACTGCTCTCTATGGCTGCTGAAGGGAGGCTGCAGGGAGCTGGGGGCGGCCTCTGCTCTCGTGCCATCAGTGATGGGAGCAGAGGGAACGGCTTCAAGCTGCGGCAGGGGAGATTGGATGGACATGAGGAAGAATTGCTGTGCAGAAAGGGTGGGCAGCACTGCAATGGATGCCAGGGAGGTGGGGGAGGCACCGAGCCTGGGGGTGTTCAAGGAAAGGCTGGATGCTGTGCTGAGGGCCGTGGTTCAGTGGGAGCTGTTGGGAATGGGGGAACGGTTGGACTGGATGAGCTTGGAGGTCTTTTCCAACCTTGGTGATTCTGTGATTCTAAGCTGTAAGGCTGAGATCTGAACCCCAACCTTTAAAGGGGGGCGACTGGACGGCAAACAAACACAAGAACGACCCGCACGGCGGTTTTACTTTCCACCAAAAGTTTTTTTTTTGTTGGTTTTTTTTTTTTTCTGTTTGTTTTTATATCAACTGATGTTAAAAAATACAGACTTGTTTTACAAGAATAGCACCATTTCTGTCGTATGATACATTAGCACTCCTGCTGTGATACACGGGGAGGGGAGGGGATTCCGCGATACCTGCGTTTTGCCAAGACCCCTTTCTGGGAGGGGGGGGGGGGGGCCGTCATACCTGCCAGATCGATTCCCACCTCCACCCGACCTAAAGAAATCGGCCTTCCAGGAAGGCAATAAATAAATAAGCCCATGGTTTTATGTCGCTGTCTGCCCGGTGACGGCGCTGGAGGGTCCCGAAGGGGAACACGGGGGGTCGTGCCATCCGTTCAGTGCAGAAGTTGTGATGGGAACGTATGGGTCCTCGGGGGTGGGATTGGGTTTGCTTTTATGGGATTGGGCTGGATTCCTTTTTCTTTTTAAAAAAAAAGACAAAACCGACAAACAAACAAACAACAAACACACAAATAAAACAACTCTTTTTACAAGAAGCAGACTGGGCCAATATCCACGCCAAACTCCTGCTCGGCTCCGCCAATGTCCATAGGTGCAATATCTACAATGGGCAGGCGCGAGGTCTTCTGCGACCGGTACTCGATGACAGTCTTGCCCCATTTGCCAGTGTGTTTCTGGGGAGAAAAGGAAGGCAGGGATGCTGTCAGCTGCTCCAGCCCCAGCCCCACAGCCCCAGCCCCACAGCCTCAGCCCCACAGCCCCAGCCCCACAGCCTCAGTCCCACAGCCCCAGCCCCACAGCCCCAGCCCCACAGCCTCAGCCCCACGGCCTCAGCCCCACAGCCCCAGCCCCACAGCCTCAGCCCCACAGCCCCAGCCCCACAGCCCCAGCCCCACAGCCTCAGCCCCACAGCCTCAGCCCCACACCCCCAGCCCCACAGCCTCAGTCCCACAGCCTCAGCCCCACAGCCCCAGCCCCACAGCCCCAGCCCCACAGCCTCAGCCCCACAGCCCCAGCCCCACAGCCCCAGCCCCACAGCCTCAGTCCCACAGCCCCAGCCCCACAGCCCCAGCCCCACAGCCTCAGCCCCACCTCCCCATCTACGCCTTTCTTTTGCAGGCGCCCAGCAACCTACCGTGCAGCCGTCCTCCAAGACGCTGTAGGTGAACCTGCTGTTGCCCTCAGCTCTGATCTCCACGTCGTTGGATCCCTGGATGAGGATGGCTTTCTTCAGGTTGCCCGTCTCCTCGTCCATGTAGGCGATGCTGTTCTTGCAGTGGTAGGTGACGTTCTGGGAGCCCTCGGTGGACAGGAGGCGCAGGAAGGTCATCTGGATGCTGGCGGTGTTGGGGGACAGGTTCTCATCGCCGTAGCTGAACTGGAGGGAAGAGGTGAGGAGTTAAAGCCTGTGGCATCACGACAACCTTACGGGCAGGAGCTTTTTGGGAAGACTTCCATGCTTCAGGTTCCCAAATGGCTGAAAAAAATCATGGAGTGGTTTGGATTGGAAGGATCCTTAAAGATCATAAAACCAATAGAATAGCAGAATAGTTGGGTTGGAAGGGTCCTTGAAGATCACAGAACCATGGAATGGCGGGGTTGGAAGGGTCCTTAAAGGTCACAGAACCATGGAATGGCTGGGTTGGAAGGGTCCTGAAAGGTCACAGAACCATGGAATGGCGGGGTTGGAAGGGTCCTTAAAGGTCACAGAACCATGGAATGGCTGGGTTGGAAGGGTCCTGAAAGGTCACAGAACCATGGAATGGCAGGGTTGGAAGGGTCCTGAAAGGTCACAGAACCATGGAATGGCGGGGTTGGAAGGGTCCTTAAAGGTCACAGAACCATGGAATGGCTGGGTTGGAAGGGTCCTTAAAGCCCACCCATGAGCTGGTTGCCCTCTGTACATCAGGATATGCAGGACCTGACCCAAAACCCAAACTGGATGCCT